GAGCAGTTCGCCAAGGACCTCAAGCACAAGCGCATCATGCTGGGCTTCACCCAGGCTGACGTGGGGCTGGCTCTGGGTACCCTCTACGGTAAGGGTCCTCATCTTCCCCCACACCCGGGGGGAAGGGAGAAGCCTGGGAGGGGGATGGAGCACCTGGGCAATGGAGATTTTTTCTCCTTAATGACCTGCAAAGGCAGAGTTGAGCACCAGCCCCAGGGCTCCTGAGCCCTGGTTAAGTACTTGCTCAAGCTGGAAGGGTTTGATAACAAGGAACTGGTTTAAAATAGCTACAGCTGCTTATTGAAGAGTGTTAAATCCCTGCTGCTTCAGCAAGGAGAATGCCTTTCCTGATCCCCCATCCCCAGGGACCGGGGATGCTGGAGGGGGGAATCCTGGGGGGCTACTGGAGGTGGGAGATCCCCTGGTGCCAGGGCAGAAGTGATGCGTGACACCTTGCCTGCCCCCGCAGGGAAGATGTTCAGTCAGACAACCATCTGCCGCTTTGAAGCGCTGCAGCTCAGCTTCAAGAACATGTGCAAGCTGAAGCCGCTGCTGCAGCGTTGGCTTAATGAGGCAGAGAACACGGACAACATGCAAGAGGTATGGGGCTGGGGAGGGCCAGGAGTTGGGGGTACCGTACACCAATGAGCCCTCAAGCTGCAGCTTCTCCCTTTTACACGTGCTTTTTGGGAGAGAGGAGCGGAGCAGCAGGCGTCCCATGCCATAGCAGCATCTCACTGCCATGGCTTCAGTCCGCCTGTGCAGGGAACCACTAGGTACTACCTTCTGCCAGGCCAGGCAGAGATCAAATCTCCCCACAGACACCTTGTGATGACTGTGGCAGCTCCCATCGCAGAGCAGCCAGGTCCTGCTGGAATCTCAGATAAGCTGGAGGTGCAGCTTGCTGCTCCCTGGGGAGCCTGGAGGGATGTAAGAAGACATGTCCACCCACCCTGCACCAGCTACAGGCAGTGCTGGGACACTGCAGATGGCCCCAGTTGCAGTGGGGTGACACTCAGTGGACAGTCACTGGGAGAAAGCCTGTCCCATCCCTCCCAGACCTTTGCAGCCAGCTGCATGTGTGTCCAGAGCCTGGTGAGGACACTGCTAGCTAGCCCTGTGACCAAGCATGTGGCCTCTTTCTCATTTCCAGATGTGCAATGCGGAGCAAGTTTTGGCCCAAGCCCGGAAGAGAAAACGCAGGACCAGTATTGAGACCAACGTGAAGGGGACGCTGGAGAGCTTCTTCCGCAAGTGTGTGAAGCCCAGCCCCCAGGAGATCTCCCAGATCGCTGAGGACCTCAACCTGGACAAAGATGTAGGTTGGGAGGGTTTGCAGGGTGGGTGTCCAAATGGCTGTGGTTCCTGAGCACCCACATCAGGACGGTTCGATACTGGAAGCTGTTGGGAGAGTGGCCGGGGCTGGTAACCACCATCAGCCTGTCTGAGCCCAGCCCCAGGAGGAGCTGTGGCAGGGAGGGTGCTGTGCTGACGGGTTGGGGTGCTGTGGAGATGCTACAAGCAGAAGGGTCTCCTTGTCACACACACAGTGCCTGTGCTCATCCCTCACACTTCCCTGTCTCCCCTCCCTTGCAGGTGGTCCGGGTCTGGTTCTGCAACCGGCGTCAGAAAGGCAAACGGCTGCTGCTGCCCTTTGGCAATGAGGCAGAGGGGGTGAGGGTGCTGTGCTGACGGGTTGGGGTGCTGTGGAGATGCTACAAGCAGAAGGGTCTCCTTGTCACACACACAGTGCCTGTGCTCATCCCTCACACTTCCCTGTCTCCCCTCCCTTGCAGGTGGTCCGGGTCTGGTTCTGCAACCGGCGTCAGAAAGGCAAACGGCTGCTGCTGCCCTTTGGCAATGAGGCAGAGGGGGTGATGTACGACATGAACCAGTCCCTGGTGCCCACTGGCCTGCCGATCCCGGTCACGTCCCAGGGCTACAGCCTGGCGCCCTCCCCTCCCGTCTA